ATGAGTTCAAGGATTTTCTGTTTCCTGGTAGCTCTGGTTATAACCCCTGATCACCTGCATACCTCAAAAGCTTTCTCTAATGAATTAATGACACCAAAACCTAGTCAAGGCAAAAAACAAAAAACAAAACCAAAACACTCTGCAAGATTCATATTATGCTGAGTTGAAAGATCTGTACAGACTGTTGTCAATTCAGTTCATAATGTTGGTTCTAACCCTTGCAATCTTAGTGCCTTACTACTAGAGGGATTGCTTGCTCCTGCATGAACACGTTGAAGCACTAAAGCTTACAGTGAAAGATCTTGCCAATTTCAGAAGCCTCTTTTTCATGTGTTGCTCTTGAGCTGTGCAACACACATCTCTGCCTTTAGGAAAGGAGTCCAGATTTTTCTATACAACAAGGCTTTTTGACCAGAATAGTAATAATTGTAGCTGTTGCTTTTGTATTTCCTATCTGAGTTTCAAAGCATAAACACAGATATAGGATACTATTTAGTTGTCTTGAGTATCCTAGGGCTGGAAAGGTGGGGCACAAGAGAAAAAAATAACAATAACAACAGTAATAAAAATGTCAGTGAAAGCAATCACCCTAGCATTAAGAAGCTTTTTGAAAAGCTAGTACACTTTGTATAACAGCTGTGAAAAGGTCTAAACTGCACCTCCACTAGGATTCCCTAATTATTTAGTGATCTCTCCTATCCACTTAGGAGACAAAATTCTAAACACCAAGGCATTCAGATACATGGAGCTCTAAGAGTGCTTCCAAGATATATATCAAGCCTAGAAGTATGCTTGAGTCTGGTATTTTGCTTCTCAACTGGCTAACTTCCATGAATTTTTATTCTCCAGAAAGTAACTTAACATATATAAAATGAGGTGGGGCATAAAGCTTGGTAGATACCAAGGAAAATGTCTGTGGGCATACTGGCACTGCGCTAGGCTCTTTGGCCATATGCTATTAAAGATTAATATAGGAGAAGAAGTAAGAATAGTGATGTAGAAATCAGAACAGCATAAAGGTTAGATGGGATAAACATGTCCATATCACTGTATGAATAAATGAATTAATGGCATTGTAAGAGAGGATTCTTATAAGCAAAATTTGTTGGAGAAGACTCCTAAGAATACCACAGTTAGTGAAGAAAACAAACAAATTGATCTTTAAACAACTCAACCCAAAGTTCTCATTCAAGACACAAATGACCAGGCTTAATTTATCATACTTTGGACACATTAGCTCTCTGGAGAAGTCTGTAATGCTGGGAAAGGTGGAAGGAAAGAAGAGAATGACCAACAGCAAGGTGGATGGACTCAGTTACAGTGACAATGGGTGCACTGTTGGAAGACCTGAAGGACCAGATTGGGGACAGATCGTCATTAACAAAATCTATCAATGTGGTCATAGATAAGAGCTGACACTGATTTGATGACACATAATCAATCATCATAATCAATAAACAAAATTAAGATAACAAAAATACCTCAGACTTAATTAATACAAACTTTGAATTTGATAGGAATTATAGAAAGGTAATATAACATTTTGATTTAAAGTTATTTATCTTACATGCATTTTTTTTAAAAAAAACTGTTTCCTGGATTTTTAACATTAAATCATTGCTGCAATGATTCATGAAGTAATTCTGTTGAAAAGAATTTGGCTGGGGATATTTTCCTAATGCACACTCTGATATAAAGCCAACATCATGGGAATTTGTCAACTGAAACCCACCTCTTTCCAATGTGAAAATATTTCTCATATTAAAGTTTCCAAATCTGTGTGAAAGACAGCTGTCAGAATTAAATCACAGGGCTGAAAAGGAAAAGGGAAATGTATCACTGTATATTGAGTGAACAATCAATGGTCTGTGAATACATTATCCTCTGACAGGCTGGATTCCAATCATGAATTATTTCAAAAGTTGTGTGCTGAAAGTTTCATTCACTGGATGGGTACACTAATCTTGTACATCATCTTGCTCCCAACTAAGGGAGAGATTTTTCTCCAACTCTCATAGTAATGGTTTAGAATGGTTGAGAATGGTTTCTCAAGCTTGGCAACTCTAAAATGTGTTCTTAAAGAGGGGAGAGGAGTTGAAGCAAGCAAGGGGGAAGTTCTGGGAGTTGAAGTCCACACATCTTAAAGTTGCCAAGCCTGAAAAACACTGGTTTAGAGAGAAAAATCTGTTCAGACTCATGTTCTACAAACATAATGTAGGCTTAACCCCATTTCAGTATATTGTCAGTAGCCTCAGGTTGAAAATGTCTACATTTGAAGGTTCGGAATCGAAAAGAACAAATGCTCTCAGAGTCACTGTTACAGAACTATCTGAACAGAAAAATGTATTCCTAGACTGGGGGCTTATTCCTCAATTATGCAATTTTAGGTATAGTTAGGTACAATCTGTATCTGAATCTCAACACTTCAAAATAAAGAGTTATGCAGTAACATATAAAAACAACTCTTAGGTTAAAGCCTAGTTTTAGTAGATTCTGTTTCTAACTAAACTTTCATGATAAGCTTGTGGAATTTGGCATATAATGGACGTGTATTCTGGAAGCCATTTTCATGCCTTAGAACAGTGCTGGCTGGGGAATTCTGGGCATTGAAGTCCACGCATCTTAAAGTTGAAAAACACTGCTGTAGTTTTTCTGTACACTGTATAAGCCACTGTCACAACAGCAGCAACACCATTTAAAATAAATGAAACAACATGAAGGGCCGTTCAAACTTTAAAAGCAGCAGCATTTGCCAAATTTTGGAAATCTACCAAGAAGCTATCATGATGGGCCTATCACTAGAAGTCTGCAGAGAATTAAAAGAGTCAGTATTTTCCAGAGAGAGAATACAATTGCCAGTGACCTCGCCTTGAAGCTTAAATGCACACTGAATGAACTCTTTGATTAATAGGAGCTTGGAAAGCTTCAGAAAGTCCTTCACTGGACAAGTTGTATGTTGCTTATTACAGAGCTTCAATTTCAGTAACAAAGCATTCATCTGAGGGGATCTGGAAATATTGTTGTTTTCTTAGTCGGGTCTATAGTAACATGCCCTAGCATGGGTTTTGCACACTGAATTGTGGTCCAATCTGTAGTTTCTCCAGTTATAAAGACCAGGCAGTTAGTAATGGAAAAGACTTTCACCTTGACAACTGCCTACAACTTCTTGTGGCAGATGATTGCAATGGACTGGACTGGGCTACAGAGGAATATGAAAGAAATCAGCATGAACTATGTTGTACAATCCACAAAAATGGACCATGGAGCAGCTGAATAGCATAATCACTGCTGCCAATCATCTTCTGTACAAAAAAAAGGGGTGGGAGGAGTTATTTGTAAAAGATGTATCCACAAAAGCTGGTAGAGTTGAGAAAGTTGTGCATATATACCTCTACTTTAGGAAAATATTGGGATTACTAATTACTAAACTACTAAAAAAATGTACATCAAAGGAATTCATTTTTTAAAAAGTAAACATTGGTGAAATTTACATTTATAAAGCAATGTTTATTCAGGATAGTTGCATATAAAATTTCGGTATATTAAGGAAAGATCTAAATGATAAATGTATGCAGATTTTCCAGTACTTGAAAAAACTGGAGACATGAACACAAACCAGATATTGCAAACATAGACTGTACTGGACTAGATATAAACCAATGATCCAACTTGACTAAGAAAGCTTTCTATATTCTTACAGGAAGTCAGAAACTTATCCATTTACAGGAAAGTTCAGATAAAATTCTGCTTGCATGTCTATGTAAAAACAAGATTTTAAGGAAATGAAGGGGAAGTCCAATAAACACAAATGATCCCAGTCAATGATAGTCAAATTATTTAAAATACATCCTCTTAGCAAAATGTGTCTACAGTTTCAAGTGTCAAACATCAAAAACAGGTAGAACTAAATTGGCATCCATTTGTAGATAAAGATGAGGAGATTTTGTAGATCAAAACTCAGTTTCCTCTTACCTCTCACCTTCTCACACCATGATGGGATTTTTTGAATAGTAATTTTATTAAAGATTACAATTGCAAAAATAAAAACTAACACAAACTAAAAAAGAATAAAAAGTAAAAGGTGCAGAAAATAAAGAAAAAAAGAAAGAGGAAAAAATATAAAATAAAATAGAAAAGAAAGAAAAAATAAGAATATAGTAAAGGAAAAGAAATACCTGTATATAAAGAAATGACTTCCCCTTCATCGTAACAAGTATAAACAATTTTAGTAACTTATCACCTTCTCTTAAAA